TTACCCTCTTCTAAGATTGAAACTCAAAGGGAACCCACAAGCAGTCTAGTATCCTCACTGGTGACCACTCTGGTCTACTTGTGAGTGGAAATGGGGGAAATGCAGCAGTGAAGACATGGGCTGAATTTGGCCATGTTCCGTTGATACCCACTGACCTTGAGATGAGAGAAAGAAGAAGAAGGCTGGTCTGAAGTTTAGGGAGATGTATGAACTCTCAAGCCCATGGGCACTGACAAGCCACTGGTGGCTAGAGCTGATAGTGAAGTGCCAACTGCTCTGAAGTGCAGGGAGGCATATGTGAACTCCCAAACTTGCAGCTAGTACTCATTTGACCTAGCTTGGATGGCTAATTGGCCAGAACTCCACCAGAAGACGATAAAGATGCTTGATGCGGTGAGCAAGTATAAATTGCCACAATTTGATGAACTGGGCCTTTGCTTATGAATGCAGTAGCTCACAACCAAAATGTAAGGATTCTTATCAAGGATCAAACTTATTTCCTCAGTGTACTGGGTTGATAGGGGCAGGTAATTTAGACACTGGCGATCAAAAATGGGGAGCTATAAAGGCACAGAGTGGCTGGCTTACAAGCTTTCATAAGTGTGCTTAGCTTTAGAACTTCAGTGGATGAGGTAGAATCTCCACTGAAGAGTTTAAATGGATCTGGTGAAAGGGGATGAGGGATGATGGTGGTATGATTTTATGACTCATTTGTGAGTAACTGTTAGCAGAATTTATTGTGATTGTCACAACTCTAATTGTAGAAGATGTGTAACTAAAAAGGGGGAGTAGTTAATCTTTTGTTTCAGGAACAGAGTATCTTTTTGCTTTTTATTTATTCCCCAAACAAGAATGTAACTATAAGATCCAGGACCTTGAGTGCCTAGTTAATCTCTGTATTTATTTTATGTCTATTAACTCATCTAAGCTCATCTAGAGGAGCCCTTGTGACACAGAGGGCCAGGTATTAGACTGCTAACCAAAATGTCAGTAGTTCAAACCCACCAGGCACTCTTCTGGAGAAATATGAGGCAGTTTGCTTCTGTGAAGATTTATAGCCTAGGAAACCATGTGGAACAGTTCTACTCTGTCCTGTAGGATTGATATAAGTTATAATCAACTGATGGCAGTGGGCAAACTGTATGATGTGACCTTTGAGAATTTTGTTACAAATGCTCATATTTACTACTTCAGAAAAAATAGACACCTAGCAAAGTATCCCAGTTTTTCAGTTTCTTACTTGTAACTTGTTGGTAAGTGCCATCTAGCCAGTTCCAATGCAAAATGATCCTGTATAGCAGATGATGATAAAATCTCTTAAAAGATGCATATAAAACTCTGTGGAAATATTTACTTTCATGGAGTCTTGGTGTGGTGCTATAGGAGAAGCACTGGACTGCTAACTGTAGGTAGGCAGTTTAAAGCCACCAGATGCTCCTTCAAAACCTATACAGCATCATTTTTTACTTGAAACTTACTTGAGTGGACTTAACAACAACAACATAGGGTTTCTGAGGAGGAACTGGTGGTTTTGAATCACTGATGTTTCAGTTAGCAGTCCATTGCTTATCCTACAGTACGACACCAGGACTCCATGAAAATATTTCCATAGATTTTTTTAAACTTTTTATTGTGAAATGAATGAAGGTGTCCAGACAGGGTCATCAGTTTTAGTTTTACATTCAACAAATCACACTTTTTATTTCATCTCATTGATTGCAATCTCCTCCATGCAACAACAGTTGTCCTGCTTCCTCCCTGTGAAAAGCCATGTAAAAATATATCCTCTTTCAAATGAATATATTTGTGGTATATATATAAGTCTGGTGCATTAACCCACAGTGCCACACCAGAAATATATATATATATATATCCATTCAGCCTCCACAGATTTTTATATGCATCTTTTAAAATGAGATTTTATTGTAATCTGTTAAGTAAACAATGGGTATTAAGAAAGATTAGGATGTGTGTGCTGCCTATATTCCCTTATCTTTTAGTGTGGATAAAATTTTATAATTCAATTTATAATTTGTATTTCCGAGAGTGAATTTTATTTTTCTGTGTTTCCTTCATACAGTACCTCTTTTAGGTTAAAATCTGTTTTCACTGATTCTGATGTGATGTGAGGTCTAGCTTGGTTTTTACACTGCCTTGCCATGTATGCAACTTTTAGACCACTTTCCTCATTGATAGAACAAGGGGTTTTATATCTTCCACTGATATGCTGTAACTCTGTGAGATAAAACTTGTCTTGTATCTCATAGATCGTTTCTTCTATCAATGCTAGAAAGAAAGCATGTACCATTGTAGTATTTCCTTTCCTTTTCTGATAATCCTTTCAATATATCTAAGTGCTTATAATAAATATTTACTTAATGCACTATATGTATGTGATTTATAAATAAATGTTAATGAATTTCTACTACCTTTCACTATATTGCTCACCTTGAACATTTTTCAGAGCAGCACAGTACAACCTACTTTTTTTTCTATAAATTAATAATAAAAAAGCCTATCTTGCATTATCATTCATGCATTCTCTAGCCTTCTCATTAGTGATTTATTTCACAGTTTGAGGTTGGCCTTTCATGTTGGTAGTGGTGGTTGTGTGCCTTGGAGTCAGTTCCAACTCATAGTACCCCTGTATAGGGTTTCTGAGGCTTTAAATCTTTATGGGAGCAGAAAGCCTCATATTTCTCCCATGGAGCGGCTGGTAGATTCAAACTAGTGACCTTGTGGTTAGCCACCCAATTCATAATCCACTATGCTACCAGGACTCCTTCAACTAAAGGTACAGTTAGAGCTATTAATGCTAGTATGCTTTTGCAACGTATATTATATTAGATATGAGCTGTTATTGTTTTACTTGAATTACTTCTAGAGAAAAGTAGTTATTGCATTATGCAGTGAATATACTGGTGTAACGCTTGACTGCTAACATACATATTAGTAAACAGTGCTGTGATAGAAATGTCCTTAAACTGGAAACTGGAGGTAAGAATGTTGTTGTTGTTAAGTGCCATTGAGTCAGTTTTGACTCACAGTGACCCTGAATAGAGTTTCCAAGAAGCTGCTGGTAGGCTTGAACTGCTGACCTTCTGATTAATGGTCCAATACTCATCCAACAGTGTCACACCAGACACATATATATTATATATATTATGTTGTTTGCTCCAATCCACTCAGTTCTGACTCATAGTGACCCTGTATAAGGTTTCCCAGGCTTTAAATCTTCATGGGAGCAGAAAGCCTTGTGTTTCTCCAATATTATA